CTTGCCGGGCCTGGATTATGTGCCGGGTGAGCCTTGGGAAACCCTGCACGGCTCTGTGACCACCCTTCCCACCTGGGCAGGGTGGGCCTCCTGCCCTGACCCTGTGCTCCTGAGCATGACTCTGTAAGGGGTGGGGCCATCCAGTCCTGCAAGATAATGTGGAAAATTTACCAGCAGGGGAAGGGAATGAAAGCGTGAGATGTTCTGCAGAATTCTGACCTTTCTCCCTTGGCCTGGGGACATTTGTGTGTGTGTCCAACCCTGTGACGGCTGTAGCAGCCAACAGAGGAAGGCTGCCTCTGGGCCTCAAGGAAGGAAAGTTTCAGGGCCTGTCCTCTCCATCAATCATCTAAGTTCAAAGAGGCTGTGGGCCTGGCTGGGTGGACTGGTTGGTTGGACCATCACCCAGTACACCAAAAGGTCACAGGTTCCATCCCCAGCTGGGGCACATGTGGGGTAGTGGGGTGGGGGTAACCAATTGATGTTTCTCTCTCACATCGATGTTTCTCTTTCTCTCTCTTCCCCCCTCCCCCTATCTCCCTTCCACTCTCTCTCTAAAGTGAATAAAAACATATCCTTGTGTGAGGATTTAGAAAAAGAGTTTCTTGGGTCACCTTGCTGCACACGGAGAAGAAGGGACCAGAGGCATGTTCAGGAAACTGGATTAAGATCTCTACTTCTACTTTTGAAACAAAAAAGAACATTATGAGCAGAAGGCTCAGAAACCTGAGCAGAAAATATCTGATTATGACTCAATATTATCTTGAGTTAAAAAAAAATGAAGGTAATTGCACAATTCTTCTGACTGATCTTTGTTTCCCAGTTCTCAATGTTTTAGCTCACTTTCATTAAAACACACACACACACACACACACACACACACACACACAAAACCAAAAACCACAACCAACCAATTATTTAATCTCCTTTGATCTCTAGCCAAAAGAATCCTATGAAAGACAGGGACACACTGACTCCCAAAGCTCAGGGCTGATTATCAGGCAACTAATAAAACCTCACGAGAATCCGCTACCAAAAATCTCTGCCTATACACATGGCTGAGGGAGGGATTCTGCAGCTCCATGGCTCTGCTGTGGTGGAAGGGGAGCAGGAGATGTGGAGTCTGTGCTGAGAATTTACTACCTAATGGGACCTTAGCCTCTGAGGCGGCAGGTCTGACAAAGGACAGGTCCTCCTGCTCAGAGCCACCCCCTGAGGGAAGCTATCGAACCACGCGTGACACTGTGTCTGGTCAATGGTTCTTCAAATCTGGGTCCCAGCCCTTCTGCGCAGTGGGGATTTAGGGAAGTTATTTTATCCTCTCTCTGAGTTCAGTTCCTACACTGATAAAGTGGAGAGAAATCTACCTCACAGAATCATTGGACAGGTTCAGTGGGAGAACCTATCATCCCATGGTGTAATGCCTTTCTAAGCCTCTGTATCTTCTACTTCTCCCTCGCTCTGAGCCACAGATATGTCAGGTCTTCCAACCCTAAAACCACCATCCCTTCTGCCTACTGCACAGGAAAATAATGGCTTTCAGGGATGCGGGAGGATAGATCAAAGTTTTTTTGTGGGAAATAAAAGGGAACCAGGGCTTCTTGGAGAAATGGCTAATTCTAGGTCTGGGGCAATAAACACACAAGATGAGCCTTCTGACCGTTCCAGAAGGTAAGAGAGTCATCAAAGACCATGTGTCCAAGAGTTAGGAGTCAACTTGAAAAGGCTCAGTTTGGCCAAAGATGGGACGGCTGGAGCATCAATAAGGATGATAGATATAATTGTAGTTATGAAATCCACGAGTTCATCATAGTACTGAAAACAAACTAAATAAGCCTCATCAGTCATGTTTGAAAGATGCCTGGGGAACCAACTTATTATTTTAAAAACTGGCGAATACGGGGAAAGAATTAATTCTGCTCATATCTTGGGGTAATCAACATAGTTGCTGAAGTTTCTCTTTATGGAAGTATTCCAGTACCATTAGCACTTTATTATAATAAAAGCGTAATATGCTAATTAGACCTGACGTCCTTCTGGACGCCCTCCTGGATGAAGCCTGGGTCCCGGGTACCTGCTGGAGGCCAGAGGGAAGCCGGTGCCGGCAGCCAGGGGAAGGAAGGCCTACTCTTGCATGAATTTCGTGCACTGGGCCTCTAGTTTTATTATCATTTACAACCCCCAAGGAAACAACAGGTCCAGGCAAAAGCTGCCAGCATCATGGAGAGAGAGAGACAGCAGATACCATGTACCTCCTGAAGGAAGCACACAGCACCAGTGAAGTGGTCTTGCTCCTCCCTCTGCCCCCAAATTGTACCTAAACCTCATTAAGCCTCTAGAACTAATGACTGAGTAGCAGGCAATAGGGGGACCATAAGAAAGGTTAAACACCACCACAATGTTGAAATCAGCAAAAGCAGACTGTGGACACATCTGTAGGAAAAAGAACACAATTTCTTTAACGAGTGCATTGATTAAAGACAGCATCGCCATCGAGGTGGCTGGTTAAGGAAGAGTTTTCAGCAAATGCTGGTGGTGCGGTGATGGAGCTTTGATGAGGAGCAAGATCTTGGAGAACCCTGAGAATGCCTCTCTGAGAAATACTAAGAAATTACCACTGAACTCGGTGAATTTAAATTCCTGTAGGTTCTGTGTTCGGAGGGTCAGCCTGGGGTGTAAACCTAAGGTCTTCTCAGGTTTTTCTGAGCCTTTCCTTGGGCATGTGCAAACATATCTTAATCCCTCATGTATCCAGTTGTTTTTGAATGTCACCGTACTTATTGATTTCAGAGAGAAAGGGAGAGGGGGAGAGAGATAGAAACATCAATGATGAGAGAGAATCATTGATCCGCTGCCTCCTGTGTGCTCCCCTACTGGGGATTGAACCTACAACCTGGGCATGTGCCCTGACCGGGAATCAAACCGTGACCTCCTGGTTCCTAGGTCGATGCTCAACCACTGAGCCACGCCAGCTGGGCTAGAATGTATTTATACCAACCACTGAACAATACACTTAAGAATGACTAAGAAGGTAAATTTTATGTTATGTGCATTTTGCCACAATAAAAAAATTGGAATAAGTTGTCGATACCATGAAAGACAGGAAAAGAGAAAAGAATTGTACCAAATGAAAAGTCTAATAAAAGAGACATGACAAGTATATGCAACATGACTTCCTAGACAGGATGCCTGACCAGTGAGGAGAGAGGGAGCCACTGTCCACCAGCTGAGAAATGTGAATGGGGGTCTGTGAACTGGAGGTTAATGTTGTGCCGATGCCGATTTCTGGGCTTGGAGGGTTGTATGCTGGTTATGTAGGAGAGTGTCCCTGTTTTGAAGACATGCACACTGGAGTGTTTTATGGTCATGAAACATCACATCTGCAACTTGCTGTCCAAATGTCCAGGTAATGACTGGCGAGTGAGCACTGGAGCAAATACGGTAATACACTCACAGCCGGGGGGTCAGGGTGAAGGCACAGGGGGGTTCTTTATACACACCTGGGGGCATCTTGATGCTGGGCTCAAGTGCCTGGACTTTGGCCTGGTGCGTGGCCCGCTCCTTCTCCGCGATGGCCCGTGCACTGGCCTGAATGATGTGTCTCTCCAACATTTCAAACTCATCCAACCGCTGCTTATAGAGCTTCCGGATCTGGCGGGTGGACGATCAGATGCACAGATGTGTGAGATCACATGGCTTGACTCAACCTCACCCCAGCATCAGGGCTCTTTGGGAAACACTGAACTACAGAGGCCATCGGGTCTACCCTGACCGATGTGAAAACTGAGACGCCCAGAGGAAAATGGTTTAAAGGCATCAGAGGACAGTCAGGAACGGAGGCCAGCTGGAAAGCCTGTCTCCTGACTTCACAGTAGAGAGCCGCCATCCAAATCCTGAAATTCCAAATACAAGTCAGCACACCACGTGGTAGACAGAGGGTTGTGCCACCCAGACCCCCATTCGAAGGACTTGCTCCTGAGCTGCAGGCGGCTTAGCGTGCACACAGCCTCCAGCTGCCCGCCCTTCCGAGTCAGCTCGGCTGCTTGAGGGCTCTCAGCTGAGCCTCCGCGCAGGGAGTCACGAGCAGGCAGCCCCGGCAGAGAGGCCTCAGGTTGGCTGCTTTCCTCTTTGCACAGATGAGGAGGTAGAGCTGCTGTTCCAGAGACGGGGCATGCCGCCTACCATCCGGGCACGAATGTCCCGGCTAAGACTGTGGTTTCCCATACAAAGGCAACAAAGGCAGACCCCCCCCCCCCAGGAGGGGGAGTGACTTTCAGCTTTATCTCCAGGGAACAATTATTCCGCCATCTGCCCCAGTCACAAAATACAGGCGTACCTCGTTTTATTATGATTCGCTTTATTGCACTTCACAGGTGTGTTTTTCTACTAATTGAAGGCAAGACCTTCCACCAGCAAAAAGATTACCACTGGCTTTATTGCGGTGATCTGGAACCAAGCCCGCAGTATCTCCGAGGTCTGCCTGTATACTGTATAATGTGTGTGTGTGCAGAGACATGAAGGTAGGTGTTACAGGTTTAGGCCTTCTGTGTGACGCGCGGGGGCGCAGGGCCGGGGCCCCGTGTTACCTGCTGCAGCTCATCCACGAACTCCTCGTGGACGTCATCCTCGCTGCCGCGGGCCTTGATCAGATTTGTGCTCACGTCGTCGCCGAACACCTCGGCCGTGTACAGATTCCGGAAGACGCCGGTGAGCAGGTGCGAGATGTCCTGGGTGCGCAGGGAGGTGGGGCGCAGGCGCAGCAGTTGCGGCTCCGGCAGCTGTGGGAGCGTGGGCAGCGAGAAGCGGCGGGGCCGACTCCTGAAGCTGGGATGG